TTGGAGAACGTAAAGTATCCGATTTCGTCAACAGATTCCAACAGCTGCTCCAAGTACTGATATTTCGGTTGTTGCAGCGACTTCGAGTACACGTACACGTTCTCGAAACGTACACCGTGCGGACTTTCCAGTAAGCTTATGAGAACATTTGTTTTTCCGCAATTCGAGGGGCCGCACACGATCGCGCAGATACTAGTCGGTAGCATCGTACCATGCTTGCGTTTCTCGGTGTTATCCCCTCCCATCGACCGTAATCTGTCGTCGTAATTCCTAACGCGTATCGTCAACGGCTGTCGCACAAAATTCATTTCTCACACTGAAAGGGGGAGGGAAATCGTGCGTCTATTTATAGGCGCGTGAAACCGCTCGGTAGACGACACCTATTTAACCAGGCGCGACACAACGAATCGGTCAGACATGTTTCTGCTTTTGTCGAATAACAGTGACATATACGATTTAACAGCAGAACAGTTGAAGTATATACCAAAGGTCATTCTATTGCAAAAATTTTATAATTGCATAGATTATGGTCGGGATAGACTTCCCGACCATATCAAGACAGATTCGGAAGTTGTGCAGTATCGTCGTTGTCTGGAGCATTACAATCTACCGTCTCAGCAGATGCACATCGACGGTCCACCGCCGTTGATAAAAAATTGCAGCGAATGTCAGTTGACGCAACAGCGGTAAAACGTGGCGGCAGTCTGTTGAATCGTGCAATAAACGCGCTTCATTTCGAGCTGCATATTCCTGGTTATCAGTTTTGCGGCCCGGGCACTCGTCTGGAAGAACGATTGGCGAGAGGAGATCGAGGGATAAATCTGTTGGACGCGGCGTGCCGCGAACACGACATTGCGTATTCCCGCAGTAAAGAACTCGCCGAGAGACATGTGGCGGACAAGATACTCGCCGAGAGAGCACGGAAACGCATTACCGCTAGAGATTCAACGCTTGGAGAGAAAGCTGCTGTTTGGGCGGCTATGAAAGCAAAGACAAAGATTGGTATGGGTTTGAAAACAAAGAAGAAGAAGAAAAGAGCGACAAAGAAGCGGATTCTTCCGGTAGCGAAACGCGGTGGTTTCTTGCCAATTCTACCGATGCTGGGCGTGCTAGGATCCATGATTGGCGGAGCAGCCGGTGTGGCGAAGGCGGTGAACGATGCCAAAGCTGCGCAACGCCAGCTCGAGGAGCTGCAACGTCACAATCGCGCGATGGAAGGTCGCGGAGTGTATCTCGCTCCATACAAACGTGGACAAGGTGTAACGAAACAGGGAAGGAAAAAAAACGCCAAAAAAACATTAAAAATGCCTACGGGTGTAACGACGAACGTGCAATTGGACCAACTGGCAAGACGAATGCGTATACGATGCAGGGGGCGTCCAGAAGTAATGGCTCTGCCAAGTCCTGGGCGTCCCCCAAGTAAAGCACAGCGCAGTCCACCGTGTGGTTTTAGTGCGGTAAGCCCAGCGGTCGCAATGTCAGCGGCCGCACCCGATCGCCATTAGGGGGGCAGTCCCACATGACCCGGGCCACTTAATGTAAACTCCCTTCCCGGAGGAGGGCCCGGGTATCCATAAAGGATTTCCACACGTAAAAAAAAAGCGTATACGACACTTTAGAGGTGTCTTTATGCGAAATGCATTACCGATAAGCGGCGTACATCGAAACGAGAGCGGTATCGTCACTCTGGACAACGCGACAGGCTCCGGCACTCACTGGGTAGCGTACGCGAAGAGGGGAAACCGTGTGATATATTTCGATAGTTTTGATAATCTCCGACCGCCTAAAGAACTGGTGTGGTATTTCGGGGATGGTGTGACGATAGAGTACAATCGAACGTCTCATCAGACCTACGATCAGAGCATCTGCGGACAGGTGAGTCTACGGTTTCTCCAAACGGTTGACGACAGATTCACACAGATTTAAAGTCTGGCGAGACGTCGCGAGGATTCAGTACACGCTGAGCGGTATTTCATCCACCATGTCGCTGACACTCACGCTGACCGGGAGGAGTGGAGTCCTCGCAGTAAACTACTTTCCAGCGATAGACCTGAGCGATGGCGATTACGAGCTCGGTTTAATGAATTTTTCGACTTACAACACGATATCGAACGTGAATGCCTCGAATAATAAATTTTACTTTGACGAAGACGATACGGAAATTACGATTCCCGAAGGATCCTACGAACTGCAAGCGATAAATGAGTTTTTGAAGCGTGCACTTTCACGGAAACTATTAGCTATGAACCGTCTACGTCGGTTCATAGCTAATGACGACGGTGAAAAACGCAGCGACGACGACGACGATGGCGATGAATACCCGATTGTGCTGCGCGCTAATTACAACACGATGAGGAGCGAGATCAAATGCGTCCTCGGAATAAACTTTAGCAAGCCCGACAACATTGGATCGCTTCTGGGATTCTCATCGACGCGTATACTGCAACCGCGAAAGTGGCATGAATCAGACTTGCCGATCAACTTTACCAACGTGAACATTATCCGCGTAGAGTGCAATGTGACCGCGGGTGCGTACAGCAACAGCAAGCCCGTACACACGATACATGAATTTTCACCGAGCGTGCCACCGGGATATAAGATATCGGAAACGCCGACGCAGATCATTTACTTGCCAGTCATCGCACGGAGCATTACTGATTTAACGATACGCGTTGCGGACCAGAACGGTCGATTGCTCGACTTTCGCGGAGAAGAGATCACCGTCAGATTGCACATACGTCGGAGACGACGATAACGCGTGCGAGTGTACATGAGATGCTCGTACTGAACGGATCGGAGCAGATCGTGAGACCAGTGGCGTCAACTTTCGATAATATCAAGTCGTCCGATTGCAGTAGGAAAAAGAAGCTCAGCGCGGCGAATGTGGAATTTTTAAAATCATTGGGATTCGCGGTGCGCAAACAATGATTGACATCCTCAACATCGGGGAGGAGCCAGTCATCGACGATCGCATCGTCAAGATTGAAACTCACTCGTACAATCCGTTTGCTAACACGACATTTGGACACAGCGATGAGATAAGAATACCTATACAACAACAGGATCTCTATACGTTGCCGCATGAAAGTTTCCTGTACATTGAGGGAAAACTAATTACTGCCAAACAAGTCCCTGAGTCCGAGGTCGAACTGGGAAATAATTGCGTCGCGTTCATGTTCGATGAGATCCGATATGAACTTGACGGCGTGGAGATTGATCGTACCAGAAACGTTGGAATAACCAGCACGCTCAAAAACTACGTTTCGGCATCAGTCGATAAAATGGCGACTCTGAAGAATGCTGGCTGGGATGTGGCATTCAATGGGAAGGGAGATTTCAATTTTTGCGTACCGCTCAACATGCTATTGGGATTCTGTGAAGATTACAAACGCGTGGTAATTAACGCTCGTCACGAATTGATTTTAATACGATCGCGCAACGACACCAATTGCCTGTTTGGAGCTGTAACACTGGAGCCACAGCTTGAAATATTCAAGATACAGTGGCGAATGCCGCATGTGTTGTTAAACGAGGTGAACAAGCTATCGATGCTGCGTACTTTGGAAAGTGGACGATACCTCAATATGTGTTTTCGTTCATGGGATCTCTATGAGTTTCCGCTATTGCAGCAGACGACTAAACATTCGTGGGCTATTAAAACAGCTACTCAGCTCGAGAAGCCGCGATATGTTATCTTCGTTCTGCAAACAGGTCGGAAGAATATAATGTCTGAGAATGCGAGTAAATTCAGTGATTGTAAAT